AACACAGGGATTAGAGAGCGGGCCGTGTGAACAGATGGTCCTTGGTTGCCACCCAAGATCCCATTAAGAAAGATGGCAGGACTGACCTATTTCAGGACCCACCATGCAGTGTAAATCCGCTGTCCAGAGAGATATGGAGACTATCTGCATTCAGGGATTACAATCCTTGCTATTTTTCTTGGACATTATAGGATTTCATGCATCGTTACTAAAGCAGATCCCAACAGGAAAATCAACTTGCAGATACTAGGACAGTCGTACCAATTCAACCACCTCACTTTTCCTCCTGTCAAAGAATTCGGTTCTGTCCTCAGATGTTGCTCAATGAGATTTTTCCATAAAGCTACTGGGATGTGATGTGTCATTATCCACCATCTTCCAAAAGCAGTTTTGCTGAGTGAACTACTGTCCCAAAGCATGCAGAGAGGGACAAGTCTTTAAGTTGCTGCTAGTTAATAAATAGTGATTGGACCAATTATGATATTTTACTTTACAACTTTATAACAATTCACGTTTCAGATGGAGAGCTTTTACTTGAACTGTCATTATTGTTAAGATTATGTTTTTGTTTGGCCATGATTGATGTATAATTATTCCAGCTTCCTCCTGCCATATGACGATATGCCCATGAACAATGCACTTGCAAAAAATGAGTTTTCAATCTATTTGTTATGTTTGAAGCTGAATGGGTAATATGATATTTTAAAGGTAATAAAATGAAACAGGTTAACAGCTTAAAATATACATTAGATGAAATTTTGAAATATTGCCAGGAGGGAGCTCCGAGGAGCACACACAAAGGGGTGCAGAAGCAGAGGCAGTTTGGTGAGTTAAGATGATTTTTATCATCAGACGCTTGTTTTGGGGTTTCTTGAAGTCCTGCTCATGAGAGAGGGGATAAGGAAATGGAAGATTGATAGACGGAAAAATGCAAAAGCAGCAGTGTTAAAGATTCTCGGTCATCCAGGTCAAGCTTGAAAAGTTCAGATTGACTTTTCAAGTTTGACCTGGATGACTGAGAATCTTCACAGATAGCCCATAAAAGCAGTTTAGTCTCAATCTATTTTTTTCATGACATAGCCAGTTTCTTCTTACTGTATGTCTGAAAGTTTTGTCTTGTTTGAAACACCCAGTTTACTTGTATGACTTATTATTAAGCATGTCAAATTGTAAAACTCAGATGAAAGGCTAGTGGTTAGGGTGTGTAGGAATTATCTAGGCACGAAAAAAAAACTTTGAGAATTTAAAATAAAAAAATTCAACAAAAAAATAATGTAGAGTATGCCAAAGGCAGCATCATGCAGAGAGTGTGTTTTAATGCAAGTTGTACTGCAGGATCCAACATTTGTGGTTAAGTTTACTGTATGAAACTGCCAGAAGAGTTTGTTTTCTAACTTTATTTGAAAAATAATAAAATAAACTGTGGATCCAATTGTTTTTATTCAAATTAATGTTAAATAATGATTGAAATGTATCTGGCATTACATCTCCTGAATTATGAGAAAGAGAAAGATTAAGGAACAGCAAGATCTGTTTACTCGGGCTTTTTTAAACTAAATTAAACCAGGTGAAACTACAATTCTTCCTCTTAAGGAGTTCTGGATAGAGCATAATGATAGAAATTTTTTTTTTTTTTTATCTTAAATGCAAAGTGTTCAGATATTTTTTTGATAATTGTGTTATAATTGCTGCTCAACATGGGTTCTCTGTCAGCTAAAGGCAAGTTTTAGAGTCTCTGTACTCCAGTTAACGATTAATCGATTACTAAATTAGTTGATGGTTGTTTCAATAATCAATTAATCTTCACTCTCTAAAAGATACATGTTGACTGCAAGGCATAGTGTTGTGACAGGAAAGGAAATCTAAACACAAATTGTGTTTGCAACCCTAGGAGAGCAGGAGAGAGAGAACTACATTACTCCCCACCCCCCAGTGGATGTATATCTGTCAGGTTATTAAGTCAGCTCGAGGGGATACTTCATCTTTCACTAACAGCAAAGTCATCAAGGTAAACAAATGTTAAGGAATGGGGTGCTCTTACTAAAAGAAACAACCAGTTTTCTATTTTGTTGATGGGTTGTTTTATTCTGAAACCACCTGTGCAGGTCAGTTTAGAAGAGAGACACTATTCTCTTTTTTTCTTTTGGCCTAAGTTACTCTACCCAGGCAGACAGGGTAATGTCAGATTACAGAGCACCACTATACAGCAGTTCCTATGGTTACCAGCCAGGTTCTGCATACATGGATACTCCTTGCAAATTCTGATCTGCAGTGAAGCACTGATGGAAGAGCAAAGGAATAGCCTGACAAAACAAAACAAAAATCACCTAACCACCCACACTGGCACACATCCAACCATGTCCATATATACAGAAGTTTTCATGTTCTTACTGCATATATGGAAAAACACTTTCAAACAAGAACCCACAGTTGCACACATTCCTCCCACATGATAAGCCAGTCACTCACCTTCATGGATCAACTTGTGCTTGCGGTATTGTGCTGCATATCATTAGAGTGAGCACGTGAGTAAACATAGCCTGCTGGGTTGAATTATCAGTTCCATCAGAAGTAGCGCAAATCACAGTAGGTGATACATAGGGATATCTCTAGGCATAGAAACCCCATTTAAAGGAGCTAGTTTCTCATTTCTCCTTGACTGGAACAAATACACTAGTTTACTTTTCAATTTGCTCATCAGTTTTTGTTGAGATTTCTCCATTCGTCTGTTTTCTTTGCTGCAGTTCACTTCCTCACACTTGCAGCTGAGGGAAATGAATATACAGGGCAGATTGGGAACACTCAGTCAAAGAGGAAGATGAAAGGGAAAAGACAGCTACGTCCATGCCAGGAGAGTTGTATGAGTGGGAAAATAATGAAAGAGAATCTCATTTAGCAAATTGACAGCTCCCCTCAGGGTTTTTTTATCCTCCTCAGCACAAAAGGACGATGCCCTCCTCAACTCTGAACTATCTTCATCAGGTGTGATGAAGCTGTCACCCTTTAGCAAACATTAACAATGACAGAGTTAGTATTTGAGTTTAGATATATCTCTCTCTCTTTCTAACTCCCAAAACTGTTTCATCCAGTCTACAAATGCACAGTTGATGTCTGAGAAAATCAGAGGAACTGTGACTGAAAGAAAGCTGGCACATAAAAAACTTAAGACCAGATGTCCCTATAGATAAAGTTGACTACACTCGCATAAAATGCAAATTTTATAAACTAATATAGCATTGCTACACTCACCGGCCACTTTATTAGGTACCCCATGCTAGTAACGAATTGGACCCCCTTTTGCCTTCAGAACTGCCTAAATTATTCGTGGCATGGATTCAACAAGGTGCTGGAAGCATTCCTCAGGGAGTTTGGTCCATATTGACATGATGGCATCACACAGTTGCCGCAGATTTGTCGGCTGCACATCTATGACGCGAATCTCCCGTTCCACCACATCCCAAAGATGCTCTATTGGATTGAGATCTGGTGACTGTGGAGGCCATTTGAGTACAGTGAACTCATTGTCATGTTCAATAAACCAGTCTGAGATGATTCCAGCTTTATGACATGGCGCATTATCCTGCTGAAAGTAGCCATCAGAAGTTGGGTACATTGTGGTCATAAAGGGATGGACATGGTCAGCAACAATACTCAGGTAGGCTGTGGCATTGCAACGATGCTCAATTGGTACCAAGGGGCCCAAAGAGTGCCAAGAAAATATTCCCCACACCATGACACCACCAAAACCAGCCTGAACCGTTGATACAAGGCAGGATGGATCCATGCTTTCATGTTATAGACGCCAAATTCTGACCCTACCATCCGAATGTCGCAGCAGAAATCGAGACTCATCAGACCAGGCAACATTTTTCCAAACTTCTATTGTCCAATTTCGATGAGCTTGTGCAAATTGTAGCCTCAGTTTCCTGTTCTTAGCTGAAAGGAGTGGCACCCGGTGTGGTCTTCTGCTGCTGTAGCCCATCTGCCTCAAAGTTCGGCGTACTGTGCGTTCAGAGATGCTCTTCTGCCACCTTGGTTGTAATGGGTAGTTATTTGAGTCACTGTTGCCCTTCTATCAGCTCAAACCAGTCTGGCCATTCTCCTCTGACCTCTCGCATCAACAAGGCATTTCCGCCCACAGAACTGCCTCTCACTGGATGTTTTTTCTTTTTCGGACAATTCTCTGTAAACCCTAGAGATGGTTGTGCGTGAAAACCCCATTAGATCAGCAGATTCTGAAATACTCAGACCAACCCTTCCGGTACCAACAATCATGCCAAGTTCAAAGTCACTCAAATCACCTTTCTTCCCCATACTGATGCTCGGTTTGAACTGCAGGAGATTGTCGTGACCATGTCTACATGCCTAAATGCACTGAGTTGCCGCCATGTGATTGGCTGCTTAGAAATTAAGTGTTAATGAGCAGTTGGACAGGTGTACCTAATAAAGTGGCCGGTGAGTGTATAATATTTGTTTGAATCTAACTGTTATAAACTTTTTTATAAACTACAAATTCTGACCACCTAAAATTAATATGCGTTTCGCACAGCCATATTGCGGACAGATGCAAACCACAAAATAAACTAGATAGACAGGTAGGAAGGGAGAGCTTCTCCAAAAATCAACATCCAAGGCCAGGTGACAAACCAAACTAGAGTTCAGCCAAATAACCAGGATATCAACAAAGCACACTTAAATTCACACATGCATTAATACACACTTGCAGGGTGACCCATAAGAATTAAAAGAAATATTTGAGCTGCAGCATGCAAAACTGCAAAACAGCTCAGATCAACCAAGGACGGAGCATTGTCCAGCCTCAGTGGGGTTTTCCATGTTCAATAACATACAATGGCTAACTAAATGCCACTATTGACGAGAGTTTTATTTTGATCAATAAACATAAGATCCACTTTACATGGAAAATATCCTAAACAATGTGTCTAAAAATGCTAATGGACCTGCATGGTTGATTTGGAGGCTGAAGAAGAGAAACCTACCAGAACCCTCCCAGTGAGCGTCTGAGCGGAGATCATGACGCCGGCCCAGTCTTTGACCGAAGTCATCCATCCCACCTCGCTGGCTGGTGCTTCCTCCTTCTCATCAGGACCTTTAGTCGTCTTATCTGCTGTCGGATTATTGGCAGGATTATTCACCTTCTGAGCCTCCTTAAAGAAAGAACAAAATGAAGTAAATAAAATGAAAGTGTGATCAAAATGTTTTAAAAATGCTGCAAGGATAATTATTATGACCTATTGACCCCCATCTGCTATATACATTAGCCAATGTTTTTCCAAATGCATGTATGATTTTAAATAATGACAGAATGTATCTCGCTTTAGTTGAGCTGCACAGATGGTTCTTCATATTAACGGTCCATAATGTCAGGCAGGCATTTAAACGTTCTGTCTTGCCTCCGAATGAGTGAGCAGAGTTGCATTGCACTTTGTTGACATGCTAAGCTTGGCAGAGTCACTGCATGCAGCTGTTCTCTCCAGCCATTCACTCACTCCTGACTTGACACTAGTGGGCATTCAGTTTCTCTCTGCTCCTGGCAATAAAAAATAATGAGTAGATTTTCTTGTGATCTGAAGCCACTGAAGCACTGAATCCCCCCAATTAGGGACAGATAAAAATATACTTAGAGGTTTGTACATACAATATGCAACATTCTTAAAAACTAAGGCTAGGCCTAAAGGGGGACCTATGAAGAAAATCCCTCAAACTGAAAATACTTTTTACCCTCTAAAGGCAGCCCATTGATCCACTAAAAATAGACAATATATGCAGAGAGTTATACTCTTAGGATGCACATGTCACTCTTAAACATTTTTTACAAGAGTAACACCAGACAATTAGCCATCAAAGGGAAATTTTTCCTGCAGCAAAGTGTAGAGATTGAAATGACTACAGCTTTTTATTCATCATTTGTGTTAAATCTAAAGAAAAATACTGACTTAAACCAAAAAAAAAACTTTGCTTAGATTGAATTTTGAAAATACATTATTACTCTAAAATCTCCAGAGCATTGTAGAAATTGATCCAACAAGGAGAGGGCCATCTAGTTGTCCAATCTGTAAGTTTTTTATCTGTGCTCCCTTATTGTTAACATGCAGGAAATTTACTAATTTTGCAGAGCTTAAGAATAAAGCAGTTACACATGAGCCCATGAGGGAGTTCTGTCCATATCAAGGAGCTTGCTGTTTCAAATTGGATTACATTTGATAATGACATGGCATGGACACAGCTGCCATTTTTCTAATTTCATTTCAACCCCATAACAATGCTAATAAACTGGGCCTAAAAAAGCCCTACTTAGTCATCAGATCATTATCTGCTCTTGCCATAGGGCCTTACTGTGCCTCAGCGGATAATTTAGTTACTTGTGAAGGGTTTCCTGCATGGCCTTAAAAAATCAAAAAAGTTTAAAAGTAATCATAAAAATTCAAGGCATTAAAAACTTCTTTATATCTCAAAAAACATTTTAATAAATTCTTAATGATTGCTCCTGAATAGAGCATGTGAATAGGTTCAAAAATCTAATTATGTATTTTTAGATTCTTTGTCAAGTAGATACAGAGCAGAGAATTGGAATTTTTACATATATTACATATTCCCTCCTATGTTACATGTGTAAGACCATTAAAAAAATGCTAGAAAGTGAATTTTTAAATTATGATTTTCTTCATAAAAATCTCTATCAAAACCAACACGATCTATTTTTAAAATATATTTTGAAAGTGAGTTAGAAATTCACAAGGCTTTTCCAGATCTAAATAGGCCATCTTTTTATACAAATTATACTATCAATACTACCAGACCTCTGTGAACATGGAATCATCTGAAAGAGAAAATATCTCAACAGATTACAAGGCAAAACACAATTCAACACATTTTTAGAAAACAAGGACAATTTAGAACAACAGCTTCTAAAGTCTTCCAGGCATCACTTGCCTCAATTAAGGTCAGTATTTCTGATTCAACAATAAGAAACAAGACAAAAATAGTATCCACAATGAAACAACACAGCCCAATGTTTTACTGTGTTTGGGATGCTCTATTATTCTCCTTAAAATGCAGTGTTAGTTTTAGGTCTTGCTATGTATAACATGAACAAACACGTTCCAAAACTTAACACTTTTGTCTCATCATTCCTTGGAATATTTGCTCAATCATCTTGGAAATAATCCTTTTCTTATTTTGTCAAAAGTGATATTGGAATTTGGTGTTCTACTAGGTAAGCATTGGTTTTAACATCAGAGATCACATTAAGGTGGTCATTAATTTTGTTTAAATCAGGACAAATCAGTTTGGTTGTAAGAATGCGTTTACCCTGTGCCATGCGGTATGTACTCTTTATGTACTGGTGTGCTGGGATGAACGGGTGCATTATACGGTATGATAGACATTTTCTATGCAAAAGACACCGACAATCTTATTCTACCATTACATGTACACGCCACTAAGACGAATAAATCATATGTAGTTTGTGAAATCCAGGTCTAGATCTCTTTGGGACATTTTGTAACATGTGCATGTTGGATAACATGAATAATAGATGAAGTCACAAACTGATGTCTTTGCAGATCAGAGCAGATAATGTAAACAACCTATTCCTTCCAGTTCATTTGAGTCATCCACGGTAGGCTAAGCTGGGGGGGAGAAGCATTGAAGCATACTGCTATGGGAGAATCCATCTGCTAGCTATAAATAAACCTCTGTGATGTCAAACTGTGGGGGGAGATGCGGAACAGCCGCAATCACAGGATATTTTTGCAGAAAAAAAAATATGTTCTGTTCTTTCTTTTCTTTTTAAATATTTTTGAAGGTGATATTATTAACTGTGATTCGTTGCTCATTCATGAAGTGGCATGTGTAGGAATACTTTTAGGCTAAAAAGTTAAAAAAAATAATAAAATAAAAAGTAACCAAAGTGTATGTCTTACTGCCATGTGGTGGGTTGTTTTACATGAGTGATAGAGTACGAACCAGTCATCACAGCAAGCTGTAATATGAGCTGCAGGTAGCAGGCTGTGCATGTCCGACTTCCCACCAAAGCAAACAACTTTACCGTACCCCACTGCTGCGTGAAAAAATACTCCTGACATGCTCTGCAGGAGATGGGATGGTGTAAACTTTAAGTGTCAGACTTACTTTAGTTTTTAAAGAGCTGCTCTCAGTGTTTACTACAGCGCATAAAAACATAGAGTTTTTACCACAAGTAATCAACACTGTTGTAACTGAATCATACCAGACTAGAGAACCCTAAGGTGTCAATGAAGTGCTAAATTTCCAGCCCAGATGGTACAAAGCAATTCCTCTTTGACTGACAACAGAACCCCCTAACTCACTGGCACATTTCAGCAGAAACATAATCAAATAAGAAATACCTTTATGATGTATTTCTTTATGAGACCAAAGGACCTAACATCCATATGATCTGATTCGATTTTGCTCTTACACCTCTAAAGCTCCTGCTCTTTTAAATCTACTTTAACTAGTTCATCTTCCTACACCAAGGGAACGTTTTTATAACAACACAGATGAGCACTGTTAATATTAGGACTTCACCAATTATACAGATACTCAGGGGAGGGCTGCTAATAATCTGCAAGACAGGGACAGAAAAAAAAAACCTTGACACAAGAACAAAGACAGAAAGGAAGTGACTGAATGAAATCAACAGGACAAGGACAAGAAGACAAGGAGGATAAATCGTCATAACAATAATGCAAAGACGGCAGATGTAATGCTGAAGAGAGAAAAACTCAAACACATTAATAGGCAGATAAACATAGCAAAAATGACAGTGAGAAAAGGGAGGATAGTTACCGAAAGAACAAAAAATAAGGGACAGACAAAAACAAAAGAGATGTCGGGTGAGGTTGAAAGAAAAGGAAAGAGAGGAGTTCATGCCCATCTGACCCAGCTGATGTAACAGAACTTGGCATTAACACAGCTGTTCTTCTGGCTTCCCACTATATCACTCAGGAAAACTCTATTCCAGTGTGGGAGGCTATTTATAAGCTCACCCTGTGAGACGTGAATGTAGTAAGACTCATAACACGCCACTGTTACCTCTGTGTCCCTTGGTTGCAGACAGCAAAAAATTTAGTGGGAGGGTATTTATATATGTATTCACAATATGACATAAGCCTTTATTTATTACTCATAGAGGTCAGGTTTATAGATCCATAGAGTATGATGAGGTAAAATAGTTTAAGCAACATGCTATCATTTCAAAGTCACACATTTCACCTTCTCTGCAATTGAAAACAAAGCAGAGGACAAAGCTAAATAATAAAGGAATGTTCAGGAGAACTTTACTGTGACTCATGTTTGTCCCGACTCCCATTTCTCTGATATAAGGATTACACACACTGTAATCCATCTGATCAGGACAGCATCCACATAAATCTATTACCAAACAAAACTCATGCACAGAGGATGAGAGGAAGATCAGTAAATCTCCATATCTAACAAAGTGTTCACTGTGATCAAATTTCATTGTAGTACTAAGGTGGAAATAACAAAAGTAAAAAAAATATGACAGTAAGATTTTTTTCTAGAAATATCCCAGAAAGAACAACAAACAGAACATCATATGGTGACGATGTACAGCTTCAGATACAAGTTTGAGTGTTTTTCTTGATTCTTTAGGTCCAATGGTAAACAGAGGCTTAGAGGTGATAGACTCAGTAATTCATTTATCATAAGATTTATACAACAATCATTTTAAAAGCTTTTAAAATAGAGGGTTGCATGGTGGCACAGTTTCATGAAACAAGAAGGTTCTGGTTTCGATTCCCAGCCCTGGGACTGTCTGCATGAAGTTTGCATGTTCTCCCTGTCTCCCGGTACCCCAGCTACCTCCCATAGTCCAAAAACATGACTATTAGGTTTATTGGCTTCTTCAAATTGTACTTAGGTGTGTTCATGGTTGTTCATGTCTTCATGTCTCTATGTTGCGCTGCGGCAGACAGGTGACCTGTCCAGGGTGTACCCTGCCTCTCGCCCATAGACTACCAGAGATAGGCACTGGCCCCAGCCCGCCCCTGAAGGAAGTAAATGGATAGATTGATGGTCTTAATGTATTTCTTGAAAACATTATTCCCCCATAACAGGTAAAAATGCAGAAGAAAATTGTATTTTATCCAGGGAAGATGAG